ATAATAATTTAATATTTTAATTTAGTGAGATCCTTGCTGCACAGAGATTTTATGTTAGGTTCCAATTTGGTTAGCTTCAGTCTCAAGTATCCCCGTTGTGTTATATCCAGACGATTTCTTTTTTTAGCAGTAAATCATTTACAGCACTAAATCCAAATTCAGCTAAATATGAAGATGGAAACGGTAGCAATAGTTTTCTTGCACATTTGGTTGAATTTGGGTATTTGATTTCTGTTTCCTCACAAAGCCATGCCATCATTCCCTTTATATTAAATAAAGTTTTAACTGACTTAACATTTTGCATTTCTGCGAGTTCTTCTTGATACTGCATATTTGATATATCAGACAAATCCACTAACTTTGGCTGCATCATCCATGTTGGAAAATCAATTTGTTTTAAATCAGAAAATCTTTCTTTTAAATCAGCCGATAGAATTTTCAGATGATCGACAATAACAAGTAAAGTGGTATTATTTACTTCCCATTTTTGGTGCTAATGTTGTTAATATACATCTGACATAACTCAATAAGGGTAATGAAATCAAATATCTTCGCTTTTGCATCAACAAGAGTTTTATTTGTTCCTTGAAGTTGCTTATTTAATATATTTAGTTTTTCAAAGATATGGGCTGAATAACTCACAAATGCTTTATCATCGACTGTTAACAGATACTTCATTTTAGGTTTGTCGCTTAAAAAATCACTAAGAATATCAAACAGTTCCATAAATCTTATAAAGCAGTTCCCTTTAGAGAGCCATAGTACTTCAGTGTGAAGTAAAAGTCTAACATGGTCTGTATTTTGTTCTTCACAAAATAGCTTGAAGAGAAGCTCACATTTGGCATTAACTTTAATATCATTGATGCTCTTTATTACTGAATGTAGTACTTCATTTAGAACAGGCAAGATGTTTCTAGCTACCAAGTTTTCCCTATGAATGACACAATGCACGAGAATCATTTCTGGATTCTCATCTTTCATCAATTTTAAGCGGTCATTTTTCTCAGGAGCACAATCTGCAGCACAAGATGTTATGTATTTATTGGTATATTATTGACATCTATATACTTTTTTAGCTTATTATATATATATCGTTGGAGGTCATGGTGCTTTCTAATCTTTTACAGAACAACATTTGTTCAGCAAAATGCCCTTTATCAATATATCTTACGTAAGTATCAATACTGCCACACTGTCTATCAAAGTTGATTCATCCATTTGCACTGAGAATTTTCTTGTTTTCAGCATGTTGTTTTCAATATCTCCACTCATTTCGTCTATTCTTCTGCTAACAGTATTGTTACTGAGTGGCATAGCTTTTGCATCTTTGTCATCTTTTTCAGGAATCTTTTTAAGAGATGCTGATATTGACGGTTTTATTAAATTCTCTCCGGTGGTATGATTTTTTCCAGATTTAACGATGAATAAAAAAATTTTATAACTAGCCTCAAGAATACGGTTATGAGTTGAAGTGTTAGCAGTAAATAGAGACTTTATTGTTGTCCTCTTTTCAAAATTTTTCTTTAAAGTTTGAAAGTCCATGCGAAGTCTGCTGCAGGGAGGTTAACTTGACGATGCCAAAAACCCAGTTGATATTCTGGTCTCGTCAAAAGAATTTATAATGTTTATTGGCTGCAATTATTTAAGAATTTGATTTTTTTCTTTCAATTTTGGCACCGAAATCTAGCATTGCATTTAAATGGCCCGGGGCAAAAGGGCTAAACTCGTGTCGAGTCCATTTTCGAATTGCCCCCATTAGCAATCAAATCGACCCCCAGTGGGGCGTGGGCCCCACTTTGGGAAACACTGGGTTAGAGCCTCCTTGCTGCCAGGCTAAACATGGGAGGTTCTCGTGGTCTTCCTCTCCATGTAGCGAAAAAGTTGGCTAGTTCCATCAAAAAATCCTCCACGAAGGCAAATTTCTTCCAATACGTAATCCAGCAGTTCCCTTATCTTATGGATTGGGTTCAAAATTACAAGGCTACGGAGATGAACATTAGTAGTCGTAAACCCAAAAAATTGGGTTGGCTGTTAAACGACTGTTTTAAAATAAAATTTAATAGACAGAAGCGATGTGGCTCAGGAGATAGAGCGTTCGTCTCTCATTGAGCTGAACTGGGTTTGAATCCCAGCAATGGCAGGTCGATACGAATTCCGCACCGGGCTCGCACCGGCCGCAGTGATGACGTAAAATATCCTAATGGTAGACCGATCCTGAGTTATGAGTCCCCTCGCCGTCAATCTAACAGTGAAAGGTTTCATGATTTCCCTCCCCTTGTAACGCAAATGCGAGTTAGTTCCATCAAAAACTCCACGAAGGCAAATTTCTCATAATACGTAAACCAGGAGCTCCTCTGTCTTTCGGGTTGGGTTCAAAATCACAAGGCTACAAAGTTGAACATTAGTAGTTGTAACCCCCAAAAAATGGGTCCTCTGTTTAACGACGGTTATTAAATTATTTATTAGTCAAATCAGTCGATGCACTTTTATAGACGTTGTGATCTTTTTTGTTTGCCCATGTAATATCAACTTTCCTCGAGAAAGCGTCTAGTCACTTCGCCCATTGTTACAGAGGGGGTTTCCCTATATTAATCCCCTACTTGATGAATCACCTACTAGCCAAATGTTCTTCCAAATGTCAGACAAAAGTTTTAAGGTCAAATCTGAAAAGATAGTAGTCATTGGGTCCAAATTTTAGGGTGTGTGTGAAGATGTTTCATTAAAACTGTTAGAGAAAAGCTTCTTCACAAACAAAGCGTTTGATAGGCGTTATATGGGTTTGAGTTATCGGTGAAAATGCTTACGTCCTTTCTTATTTCGTCCGCTAACCCATTTCCAAAATGCCAGCATGAGTTTTATCGTTTGATCACTGTTTCACAGTTGGTTCCAGTTATGTCTATTAATAATACAAACGATATTACTCCATCAACTAGGTGACGATTTTTGTATATCTAAGAACCTTAACTTCAACTTAAACCTTGCTTTTGAGATTACCTTCGTTTATTTGTGGGTTTAAAATCAAGTGAGTTAAGATATTTTAAATGATCCAGTAGTTTTATGGATTAATTTATCTTTTATTGGCAATAAGAATGAAGTTACAGTTACATTGTTTCTGTACAAAATGAGAATAACTCTGACAAGACAGCCACTCTATAGTTTGAGATGATAGGATGCATATTTAAGTAAATTCTTCCTACGAACCAAGAACTTTCTAAATCGGAAACAGAGCATTGTTAGTATTATTAAGGCAGCAACAATTTCAATGACTGTCAACATCACACCTGCAATAATAATAATAATCATAAATTAAAAATTAATTCATTTGAAATTTGTAATAATTATTTTACTCATAATTGGGTCAGCTGTTCAACGACGGTTATAAAATATAAAGGAATAATTTTACACATTTCATTTTCTAAACATGGAACTAATTGCAATATCTTTCTGAGAATTAAATAATATTTTTTGTACTTTTTCAAAGGAGGAAAAATATTATAGCTGAAATGCCATTTTTTCGATGTAAACAAAAAGATTTCTACAGCTAGCCAATAAGCACTCCTCTTCATTCGAAATGTTGTTGTCCTTTATTATTTTTTTGTTCAAAATATGGGTTTAATAAGAAGGACATAACTTGAAAAGCGCGTTTCAAAAAATATATATAGTTCGGAAAATGGATCTAGCTTGAAAGGCACGCTGGAAGAAAACGTGGCTCAATATGCGCGTTTAATAAAATGGATATAACGAGTCTTTGAAAATTAGATATAGCTCAAAATGCATTTTTAAAAAACTGGATACAGCTTGATGTCCGAATTTGAAAAAATTAATATGCGTCTTAAGGAAAATAGATTGAGCTAGAATAGAGTGTTTAGAAAGATAGATTTTAATTTAGAAAAAATTTATATAACTAAAAATTTGAAATGCGCGTCTTAAATAATAAATATAGCTCAAAATGCGTTCTTAAGTAAATGATAGAGTTGGAAATATACACTTGAAGACTTTGTATAAGTAGCTATGGAGAAATAGCTTCCGCCTTCCGATGAGGCGAAGTTCGAATCCCAGCAATGGCTGGTTGATACGAATTCCGCAGCCCGCTCACACCAACCATAGTGCTGACGTAAAATATCCTCAGTGGTCGACGGATCATAGGTTAGAGTTCCCTTGTCGTTAGGCTAACCGTGGGAGGCTTTCATGGCTTTCCTCTCCATGTAAAGTAGATGCGGGTTAATTCCATCAAAAAGTGCTCCACGAAGGTACATTTCTCCCAATTCTTGATCCCAGGGCTCCCTTGTCTTCTGGATTGGGTTCAGAACTGCAAGGCTACGGAGTTGAACATTAGTAGTCGTAAACACAAAATTTGGGTCCAACGACGGTTATAAAATGAAATGTAATAAAATATGCGCGTTCGAGAAAATGGATGTTGGTACAAATGCGGGTTTTGAAATATAAATGAAGCTCAAAATGTGCCATTAAGAAAATGGATATAGCTTGAAAACGCGTTCGTAAAAATGGGAACAGTTCAAAATGTGTGTTTAACAAAATCGACAGAAAAATAATTAAACAGAACTATAAACTCATAAAGATACCTTGGCTACTCATATCGATACCTCGTCTGGAATCTTCAGGTAAAGAAGTAGGGATCTCACATTCTCTTAAGAAGTCCTCTGGAATTAAATGTTTCGTGAATTGAATGAAATATTCTAAAGGACAAAACTCTTCGCATCCATCCAATGATAACACATGAGGACTACCGATATCTGTTTCTGGTTGAGTTGAGTTTAAATAGAGTATTCGAACAAAGTAGGCATCCTTCTGTCTTCTGTATAACTCAAATATCAGAGTAGCGCAATAGGGCGGTCGTTTTCGAATATTCAAATTCAATGCATTAGAAATATACGCTATGTTAGAATCATGCTAAAAAAATGACAAAAAAGAAGCTTCGTTAGTTGTTAGTTTTACTATACATTTTAAACAAGAAAATATAAGTGTACATAAATATTGTTACTTTCTCCGTAATTTATATTAAGAGTTTAGGAAGAATAAATTATTGGCGTCATAATTTAAATCAATTGGGTAATTATATTTTATAAAATGATATCGATCATAAGGTTATTTGCTTAAATGTGTTCTTTTACTTTATATGATCTTAAATCATTTAGGGATAGAAATCGACAAAGAAATATTTCTTAGTCGGAAATTTTCAAAACAGCTTAGAATAGTTTAATTGTCGCATAATATGTTGAGGAACCGAATGGTTTTATTTGGTGTTGACCATCTCGCAGTTTGAAATATTCGGACTCGTGCGAATTGTACAATTTTGAACCATTGAACCAATATCAATTCAGAACCATAATTTAATTATGCTATTGCTCTACTTTAAAATAAACTTGGTAGGTAGGTATTTTATTTACGTCACACTAGAGCTGCAAAATGGACTATTGGCGACAGTCTGGAAAACATCCCTGAGGATGATCCAAAGACATTCCATCCCAATTCATGAGTTCTATTCCTCAATTTAGACACAGATCAGAAGGGGAAGGAAATTTCCTCCAGATCCCTATACCCATGGTTCTGCTCAGCAACCGACCACAGAAATTCCACAGATTTTACGAGCACGAATATCGCTTGTACTCAGTGAGTCGAGGATTGAACCTCGGCCTCTCCGGACCGGAATCCGATTCTCTTACCACTGGACCAGCAAGGCTCAAAATGAGTTTGGATACTCATCCTAGAACATCCGATTGCTGGTCTACGAAGAACGTGTTACTTCATTTCATGGGCTCAAATAAGTTCCGAATCTAAGAAGACAACATTTCTTTTAGGAAAATTGGCTAAACTGCTGAGAATAGTTCACTTGTCAGAATAGTTCCTCGATTCCTAATGAATCATAATAGGAAATGAATCATAACAGGAAATTATCGATTTGTCACTGGATTGTTATCAATTTGTCACAGTGTTTACACTGTGCCAGTAAGACTCAAAATTAGTTTGGATAGTTCCTAATGAATCATAATAGGAAATGAATCATAACAGGAAATTATCGATTTGTCACTGGATTGTTATCAATTTGTCACAGTGTTTACACTGTGCCAGTAAGACTCAAAATTAGTTTGGATAGTTCCTAATGAATCATAATAGGAAATGAATCATAACAGGAAATTATCGATTTGTCACTGGATTGTTATCAATTTGTCACAGTGTTTACACTGTGCCAGTAAGACTCAAAATTAGTTTGGATACTCATCCTAGAACATCCGATTGCTGGTTTATGAAGAACGTGTTACTTCATTTCATGGGCTCAAATAAGTTCCGAATCTAAGAAGAGAACATTTCTTTTAAGAAAATTGGCTAAACTGAGAATAGTTCTCTTGTCAGAATAGTTCCTCGATTCCTAATGAATCATAATAGGAAATGAATCATAATAGGAAATTATCGATTTGTCACTGGATTGTTATCAATTTGTCACAGTGTTTACACTGTGCCAGTAAGGCTCAAAATGATTTTGGATACTCATCCTAGAACATCCGATTGCTGGTTTATGAAGAACGTGTTACTTCATTTCATGGGCTCAAATAAGTTCCGAATCTAAGAAGAGAACATTTCTTTTAAGAAAATTGGCTAAACTGCTGAGAATAGTTCACTTGTCAGAATAGTTCCTCGATTCCTAATGAATCATAATAGGAAATGAATCATAATAGGAAATTATCGATTTGTCACTGGGTTGTTATCAATTTGTCACAGTGTTTACACTGTGCCAGTAAGGCTCAAAATGAGTTTGTATACTCATTCTAGAACATCCGATTGCTGGTTTATGAAGAACGTGTTACTTCATTTCATGGGTTCAAATAAGTTCCGTATCTAAGAAGAGAACATTTTTTTTAAGAAAATTGGCTGAACAGCTGAGAATAGTTCACTTGTGAGAATAGTTCCTCGATTCCTAATGAATCATAAAAGGAAATTATTATTATCGATTTGTCCAATTATTCTATTGTCCAGATTGATGTTGCTTCTTATCCTACTTGCCAAATAACAGCAAGCCTGCTTGTTGAGAGCAAGCGAATTTAAGGTGCGTTCCTTGTTTTTCAGTGGTGCTATCTGTGGCCAAGAATTCGACTTCAGCCACACGCACGCCACAGCTCGTTTATAGAACGGATCCATTCATGCATCCAACGATCGTAACTTTGACCAGAAACAGAGAACGATCAATCTCCGAATCAGTTCCCCCAGAAGTTCTGACTTGTCATGGGAACATGGTAGACTTTTTGACCCGACAGACTTAACGCTCACCAGTCACCATTTATTAGTCTTTCAAACAGCTTTCTCACAAATAATTTCCACATTAATGACTCCTAGCTAACTAATATAACTAATAACTAATGATTTCCTCACTAATGGCCTTTCCTCTTTAGGGACAGATTTAATTGAAATTTTTCTTGTTTCTACTCTTCTTAGAGAGATTTCACATTTGCATAGAATTATAGTTTTCTACGAATTAAATTATATACCCTGTTTGATTTTTATAGCTCATGCGTGAAAATTACCTTTCTTACTACCTTGTGTTTGCTAAGAACTTAAAAATAGGGTTTGCTTATTGTTAACACAAGACAAACGCTATGCAGAATCTTTCTATTAATTTGAGATTTAACATACGTTTTTCTTATCCTCCTTTTTGACAAGGGCTCAAAAAAATATACATTGGATGTGTTGATTACGGAACATCCTATATATTAAGGGCGATGATTACAGAAAACCCTTTAAAAATATATAAATGCAAAAAATTGAGTAAAAATATTTAAAAAAATGGAGAAAAATATTTCACTTACAGCAGCAAATACTTGAAATTTTAAGTGAGGTTCGCTTTCTTCAATTTTGAGTCTCATTTTTTTAATCATTAACTTGATCAAAGGACCTTTAAAAACAACATAACTTTCAATGACAATAAATATTTTTTTTTAAGATAAATAATTAATTTATTTAGTTTTTAAAGTAGAGTTTTCTTTTGAGAGAATGCATTTATTAAAAAAAATATTCTAACTAGTTGCAAGAAAAAATAAATAAAGCTTACTTAGATATTAAGACAAACAAAAAAATTATAAGCATACAGTAAAAATGGTGTTAACCTTTTTTACTGTATGTTTATATGCTGATTTCAAATGTGATATCTACTTAATGTTTGTCATCACTGAAAAAACTAATTTACATGCAATACCATTTAACTTTTTTCGATTATCATGGAATTTGCTTGCATAGGATAACAACTACATTATTTCCCAACAGACATAAAGAACTTGTGAAGTTTTGGGTCTATAGGGTAAAGCGTGTCATTATTTGCTACTGTATGGATGTTAGAGGTCTACGGTGTTGCAAGTTAAGAAAAAACCATTATCCCTAAGGAGAGAGCCTATTTGCATCTAAGTGTACGCCAAATAGATGCCAAGCTGCCAGCGCAAACGTATATCATCATCGCCAACTCTTGAAACAACGTTGCGCAGCCTTCTTTTTGCTCGCTTTCTTAAATCGTGTGAAATAAAGAAAAGCAAAACTTACTTAATAAACAATTACCAAGTAATGAGAATTGTTTTGTTATAATGATATCTAAAAATCATAATAAATATATGCTTTTCCGCTCGCATTTAAAGAAACTAATGAAAGAATAATAAATATTGTTTCTTGCAGACGATTTTCTTCTACAGCGAAACAAAACTGAAAATTCTTTTTCTCTCATTTAATTGTTAAGAGTATGCCAGTATAAGATATTTAATATTCGTTAAAAAAAAAAAAAAATCTAATCGAGCACCGGTTGAAGCCACTTAGGCAATGCAAGCCAATTTTGATGCTCACCCCCCCCCCAAATGTCAAAATAAAGAATGATGCCTTTTCATCGATTTATGCCTGCTTTAATTACTATCTCGAGCAAGACTGACTCATAATAATCTTTAAAACAAGTTCTAATTAAACACCGGTTGGAACCAACACAATCCAATTTATGAAGAAAAATTAATTATAAACTAAAAACTAATTATCAGAAATAAGTAATTGAGCATTAAAATAAATTAATAGTTTTTTTTTATGAAAAATAAAAATTATCTAAAATAAGAATAATATGTAATGATCTCGATAGTTTAAAAATATATAATAATATATATATATGTATATGATTTTATTACTGAATAAGATAATAGTGATAATAATTTTAATCACCTGCGCGAAGGCGCAGAATTGTATCTGTATTCAGCCATGTGTGGTATGCCGAATCAGCTATTTCTTCTAATTCAGACCAGTACTTGTGTGCCCATTCAGGAACAATGAGATTATACTTTTTCTATAAATTAATAAAACAGGATTTAATATTTTATGATACAAATTCCATTGATGACTATAGTAAAATGTCATTGTTTTATTCCAAAGAGAGGATATGATAAGAAAAAAAATTAAATTTTAAAAACTTCGTTCTTAGATTAGACTTTCGTCTCCCATAGAACGAAAAACGCAGGATGATTTCGCTTTTCTATTTTTTCTTTATAAATAAAAGATAATTTTCTAAAATTATTAATTATCAACTTCTAAAAATTATCCATTATAGTATTACCTTGCGCACATCCATTTTCGGGCCCATTCTTGGTAGCAAAAACGCACTTCAGTACTGCAGTAAGAAAGCTCTATAAAACAAAACTCCTCTTCTTACGTTTTTACCCTAATGTGTGCTCCTGTTCTCATATTTTGTAAACTAGCAATCTTGTTAAGAAAATATTTTAAATCATTCTTGAAAAATTTACCGTTCATGTAAGTTCATTCGAATACGCTACTCGCTCTATAGATTTCGTTCTATGTTTTATTCTGTTTTTTTTTTTTTTCTTCAAATTTTTTTCTGTTTTTACGTGATATTTTTACTTAATATGTTCAATTTCATTTGTTGTAAATTTTTTGCAAAAAACATTTTTTGAGTGCTCCTCACACTATTGTATTGATATATTTTGCTTTGGCTATATTAATACAATATTAGAGAGCACTCCTTTTTGCGGATATAATCGTGTGAGCTATAACCGGATTTTTAGTAATTTTTTTCCCATTTTTCGAATTTTTTTTCTTTTTCCCTATTTTTATTGTTCTTTAATTTTTATCATGTTTTCTCAACATTTTAAACTTATTTTATGAGCTGTATCTACTTGCAGCCTATGAGCTGTAAATATATATAAGAGTTTTCTTTTGAGAGAATGCATTTATTAAAAAAAATATTCTAACTAGTTGCAAGAAAAAATAAATAAAGCTTACTTAGATATTAAGACAAACAAAAAAATTATAAGCATACAGTAAAAATGGTGTTAACCTTTTTTACTGTATGTTTATATGCTGATTTCAAATGTGATATCTACTTAATGTTTGTCATCACTGAAAAAACTAATTTACATGCAATACCATTTAACTTTTTTCGATTATCATGGAATTTGCTTGCATAGGATAACAACTACATTATTTCCCAACAGACATAAAGAACTTGTGAAGTTTTGGGTCTATAGGGTAAAGCGTGTCATTATTTGCTACTGTATGGATGTTAGAGGTCTACGGTGTTGCAAGTTAAGAAAAAACCATTATCCCTAAGGAGAGAGCCTATTTGCATCTAAGTGTACGCCAAATAGATGCCAAGCTGCCAGCGCAAACGTATATCATCATCGCCAACTCTTGAAACAACGTTGCGCAGCCTTCTTTTTGCTCGCTTTCTTAAATCGTGTGAAATAAAGAAAAGCAAAACTTACTTAATAAACAATTACCAAGTAATGAGAATTGTTTTGTTATAATGATATCTAAAAATCATAATAAATATATGCTTTTCCGCTCGCATTTAAAGAAACTAATGAAAGAATAATAAATATTGTTTCTTGCAGACGATTTTCTTCTACAGCGAAACAAAACTGAAAATTCTTTTTCTCTCATTTAATTGTTAAGAGTATGCCAGTATAAGATATTTAATATTCGTTAAAAAAAAAAAAAAATCTAATCGAGCACCGGTTGAAGCCACTTAGGCAATGCAAGCCAATTTTGATGCTCACCCCCCCCCCAAATGTCAAAATAAAGAATGATGCCTTTTCATCGATTTATGCCTGCTTTAATTACTATCTCGAGCAAGACTGACTCATAATAATCTTTAAAACAAGTTCTAATTAAACACCGGTTGGAACCAACACAATCCAATTTATGAAGAAAAATTAATTATAAACTAAAAACTAATTATCAGAAATAAGTAATTGAGCATTAAAATAAATTAATAGTTTTTTTTTATGAAAAATAAAAATTATCTAAAATAAGAATAATATGTAATGATCTCGATAGTTTAAAAATATATAATAATATATATATATGTATATGATTTTATTACTGAATAAGATAATAGTGATAATAATTTTAATCACCTGCGCGAAGGCGCAGAATTGTATCTGTATTCAGCCATGTGTGGTATGCCGAATCAGCTATTTCTTCTAATTCAGACCAGTACTTGTGTGCCCATTCAGGAACAATGAGATTATACTTTTTCTATAAATTAATAAAACAGGATTTAATATTTTATGATACAAATTCCATTGATGACTATAGTAAAATGTCATTGTTTTATTCCAAAGAGAGGATATGATAAGAAAAAAAATTAAATTTTAAAAACTTCGTTCTTAGATTAGACTTTCGTCTCCCATAGAACGAAAAACGCAGGATGATTTCGCTTTTCTATTTTTTCTTTATAAATAAAAGATAATTTTCTAAAATTATTAATTATCAACTTCTAAAAATTATCCATTATAGTATTACCTTGCGCACATCCATTTTCGGGCCCATTCTTGGTAGCAAAAACGCACTTCAGTACTGCAGTAAGAAAGCTCTATAAAACAAAACTCCTCTTCTTACGTTTTTACCCTAATGTGTGCTCCTGTTCTCATATTTTGTAAACTAGCAATCTTGTTAAGAAAATATTTTAAATCATTCTTGAAAAATTTACCGTTCATGTAAGTTCATTCGAATACGCTACTCGCTCTATAGATTTCGTTCTATGTTTTATTCTGTTTTTTTTTTTTATTTTGTTT